AGCTCCCCCCAGTCCACGGCCTTCTGATCATCCTCTGGCCTCAGCGATTGCACCCAGCACTTTCTCACCCTACCGGGTCGCTTTCGCGGCTGGTCGATCTCCTCCCGGTCATCGACCTCATGGATGAATCCAGCCTCCCTCATCGGCAGCTCCAGCTCCTCCGGTGTCTCCCCAACCTGGACGATGTCTCCGGTGTGGAACAGCTTTCCGGTCTCGAGCTCCTGCACCAGGTATCCTGGAGTTGTCATTGACATCGTAACAGCGGGGCACAGCACTCGGACCTGAGTTCGGGTCGTCGACAGGTATTTCTGCCTGTCACTGTAGTACTTCCTTTTGGCCCATACCACCTGTCCAAAAGGAACCAGTTCACGCCTCCTCCAGCCCATGGACTCCAGTTGCCGTCTCAACCGGCCCTCAGCCCAATGCCTGGCCGCGTGGCACCAAAAGCTCTCATCGAGGCCCGCTGCAATGAGGAGGGTTCGCGCGCCCCTCTTGACTTGGGCAATCGCATTCTCTGCACGACCATTTCCCTTGAAGTTGTCGCCATCGTTGAAGGTTCTCATGATGCCCCTATCATGACACCACTTCTGGAAGGAGCGGGATTGATACTCCCCCGCACGATCTGAGTGGAGTCTTTTGACCGGCAGGCCCAAGAAGTCCAGCTTCGCTGCCATCCTCCCGATCGCTTCCACCACCGCCGGACCTCCTCGATTCTCCAAGATCTCGACGACCAGAATCTGCTTCACCTGAAAGTCACCCTCCATCTCAACCCGTTCCATCCAGGCCTTCTCATCATCGAGTCCCGGCCACTTTTCTCCCGGATCCTTGGGTACCTCCTCATCTTCGACCACCGTCAAGTCCGGACCGTCCCCCAATGCTCCAGCCAACTCGTCCTCCTCATTGATGGGGATGAGTGACTGTCCTTCCTTGGTCACTGGTGCCAGGTACACCCCCACCAGTAGGTAGCGGCCCTTGCCCAATTGGTCCTCCGCTAGCTGGAACGGTCCCGCTGTGTCGATCGAGAGAGCATAGGCATCCGGATGTGAGATGCGCTTGTGAGCCTTCCCCTTCGATGCCGCGATGACACACGACTTGCACTCTCTATTGTACGGTACATGACCGTTCAAGAGATGCCTCTTCCAGGCGTCCAGGTCCATCCTCTTCATCTGAGAACCCTGACTCCCCAGCTCCTCACGCACCGCCACCACCAGCGCCGCCTTGAGGCCCGGTGCCCATGAGGCCCACGATCTCGACCGCGCTATTCTCGCCTGGAGTGACTCGCCCTGATGCTCATCACCCCCTTGCCCTGGTCCTCGTAGTCCTTCCAACTCCAGGAGCCTTGGCATGTTGGTTCCAACCCTCGTAGGTTCTCCGTGTGTGTCCCATCGGTCCTTGGTCGAACCGCACTTCAAACAGTCCCCAGAGGTCCTTGATCTTTTGCCATTCCGGCCAGCTCCAGTAGGTTGGGTACCGGGGATGTCCACTCATCTCCTTCTGCTTCTCGGCCATCTCCGTGTCCTCCCCTCCGACCTCGCCAGCTCCTCTCTTGGCTTCTCCCAGATAGGCCTCCGGATCATCTGGTTGCTCCAGGGCTGTCACCACCTTCCGAGGTTGTGCAGCTCGTGACGCCCGGTGGTGGAGATAAATCTGTCTCAACCAGAGCAAGGTGTCGTCTTCCACCTGCTGCCTCAGCACTGGGTCCAAATTCGGCAGTCCAAATCTCCCTGGACCCTCACGCTCCCGAAGCGGTGGTGGCCCCGGCTGCCGATACCTCAACCGGCTCATCGTCCTGCAGGGCGGTCCTCCCAGTAGAGCTCTAAGCGTTCCACCGTCCGCAATCTCCAGCAAGTAGGCGAAGACGTCGTCCCGGAGGATGTTCATGCCGGGGTCAATGACCGTATCCACACACAGGACAGCCCTACCTTCCGACTCGAGCTCCCTCTGCCAGTACTTCTTGGTGTCCCCGCTGAAAAGGTGAACCACCACCTCCCGAGCCTTGCGAACTCGTCTCCGTTCATGTCGGTTCCAGGGAATCGACTCCCCCCTCCATCCAACCTTGGGCAAAATCCTCACCAGCAGCCGAAGAGGAACCTCTGGGAATAACTCTCGGAGCTCCTTGAGATGATGGATCTCCCCCAGCTCAAGCTCACCCTGGTTCTCCTCCCCATTCAGCACTGCCAACCTAGCCCGTTCGCGGACCATGCTTCTCTCGATCTCTGCAATGAGCTCTCTCCCCAAGCCTTCCGCAACCGTAGGGCACATGCCTTCGATCATGACATCCAGGAGGGCGCCGCTCGGGTCCGTCAAAGTGAACCTCTCTTTCTCCCAGTAGGCCTCATAGCCGAGCGAGATCAGCACCCCTAGTGGCACGATGGTTTGGACGTCATTCTGCGTGAGGAGAGTCTTCGTCCACGGAATCTGTCTCAGCACCACAGACCCTTCCGCAAGTTCAACTCGAACCTCTTGTGCCCTCATCCATTCTTCCTCGGACTCCGCCTTCCTCAGGCAATGGGTCGCTCCCCCATCCAGAAGTGCTCGATCCGTAGTTTTCACCTCCAGGCTGCTCAATTTGACTGCCCTTATCGCTGCCTTCCCCTCTCCAGCCGGTCTCAAGCTCTTCAATAGAGTAGTTGCCTCAGACAGCAGGGCTTGAACTTCCCCAGAACTGGCAGCTGGCTTTTCCACTCTCTTCTCATCCACCGCCTCCTCAACCGAAGACGCTGGGTTCTCAACCACGGGCTCCCGCTCATTCTTCTTGGTCCCACCACCCTTCTCGGCCTCCTTCTTGAAGGTCTTCACCTGCCTATCCCCGTCGACCTTCATCTTCATAGCCGGACACTCCCGCTTGGAGTGCTTGGTCGATGAGCACCCAAAGCATCGGCCCTTCTTTTCCAAGTTGCTCCAGTCGTGCTTGAAGCGGCACTCTTGTCCCTTTCGGCAGCCCTCTTCAGAACCCCAAAAGCGGCAGACTTTCTCTTCTGACTTCCCTTCACCCTTTGATTTCCCGGTGCCCTTGTCCCCTTTCTCTTCTACCACCGCCGCCATGGCCTTGATCTTGGTCACCGGGGGCGTCGCCTTGACATCCATCGCCGGCTGTAGTTCGCTAATAGCCAGGGATTCCGCCTCAGCCGTGAGCATGTCCGAGAAGCTCAACACAGTCTCCAGCGACGGTGTCACGTCCACCCCAAGAGCCGCTCTCGTAGAGGACATTCGGAATGCCACCTGACTTGAGGTCCTCCCCACCAACTCCGACATCCGGTCAAGAGCTCCCAAAAGAAGCGTGGCATCCGGAGTTGCTATCTCCAGCTCCTGGGCCCGTCTCAGGCTGCGCCTCCAACTCCGTAGTGCCTCAACCACCTCATTCATGGTCTGGGGGGTCTTCGGTTCCACCAGCTGTCGAAGGAGTCGAGACCTCTCAGCAAGCCCTCCGGGTTGGTAGCGCCTGAACAGTGCATAGAGCACCTCCACCGAGCTAGTCGTCCTGCTGGCCAGGATCTCCGCCTTGATACTCTGCGGGACTGCGTTCAGGAGCATCAATTGTCCTCGCTGTTCCAGTCGGCTCCAAACTCCCGAACACTCCGCAGGGACCCTTGGTCGGATGTAGAGTCGCTGAACGGGTTCCGCTTGGAGCCACTCTCGATACGCCATCATGGCAAAGTTCAGCACCTCCTCCCACCATTTCCAACTCGTGGCGCTCAGGTCCTTCATGGTCGGGGTCACCAGCTGAATCCAGTCGCCCAGGATGAGTGACCCCAAATCACCTTCTCGAAGATCTTGAAGGGGTGGCAGCTCAACCGATCGAATGGCCTCCGCCCACTGCCCTTCGGGTGAGCTCGTTCCCAGCTGCCGAAGCACTGACTGGGCGGCTTGCTCAAGTGGTGAGCCCCGGATCAACTCCCGGTTCTCTTCACTGCCCCCTCTACCTTCTCGATCTTGTCCTCGTTGATGGCCACCTTGAAGACCCCACCCTCCGGCTCCCCAGGATCCAGGCACTTCAGGTACTCCCGAACCTCTTGGAGCTTTTCCTCTCCCCATAGTTTCACCCTCCAACGACTTGGGGAACTCAGGAATCCTCAAACCGGCCCATGCCTGATCCGAATCATCCGTCCTTCCCTTCACAGGGGTATATGGAGGCGGATCCTTCGGAGGTGATGGTGGTGGTGTCGACGTTGGAGGCTTGGGTGCATCTTCAATGGCTGCAACCTTCACCTTCCCCTTCTGCTCCTGGGTGACCTTGGAGTCCTTGATCTCCTTCCGCAGTTCTCCAACCTCCTTCTTCAAGGCCGCGTTCTGCGCCATCACCGCCTTCAGGAGTTCCTTGACGTCCATTGAAACCCCTCTCTCTTCATCCACAGGCTCCACCCGTCCTGAAGGTTGGGGCCCGTCAGCAGCTTCCCCATCAGGCAGCGCCGCCGGCCGCATCGCCCTCAGCCGCGCTTCGGCCTGCATCCGCTCACTCCAGAATGGGTTCACGGCCACTGTCTTCGGCCCTTCACCCTTGCCCTTGCCCGAAGCTTCCCCTCGTCTTTGGGGACCGTAGGTGGTCGGTGGACCCTGGGCCAAAACCATGGCCGTCACCGGGACCAGGGCGTCCTGCGCGTCCTCTAACGCCAGGATCTCCTCCTCTTTGGCCGACTCCATCGACCCTTCCTCTGGCGTCGATGACGCCGCAGCTGCCGGCGCTGCCCCGCGCTTCGCCATGGCGGCCAGCGACCGAGAGGCCCACACGGCACTCCTCGGGTGGGCTTCAACCCTCCTAAAACGTTGGGCTCATAACCCGCACGTGTTGCGGTCTTTTTTGACCGCTCTTGATCAAAAAGGGCTCCAACACCCTTGGTACACTTCTCGATTTCGTGCACCCGAACCTCTAGAGCTCTCGGTACACTTCTTGATTTGGTGCTTCTGGAGAAACAATATCTGAGGAGAATGGCTTGTTGCGATTTGCAGATGTTTCAACATGTTGTTTCTGAAAAACAGGTGCCGTTAGAGCCCACACTAAGGAGATCTTTACAATGGCTGAGAAGGCAGGACATTCCTTGCACAGGTCGCTGTCGAACTCTCATAGCCATTTCTATGCGGGTCCTGATCTCACGCCAGCCATGTCGGCATGGGTTAGTTAGAAGAGATTTGTAGTGGGCCCAGTTCTGGTGGATCTTTTGCCAACTGGAAGTCGACGAACAAGGGTTTAAAGAAAGGGCCCGCCAAAGCAACCTGGAACCCAATCCAGCGGGAGGTGGGAATACTTCAGTTGCGGGAAGCCACAGCGGCTAAATGCATTTCCATTCGATCAGGCTCATTCCGAATTGATTTGGTTCAAGTTGAACAAGTGGCCCAACATAGAAAGAAAACTGCCGCGCACTGGCCAGCGCGGCGAACCGATTTCGAAAGACGTTGCTAGAAGTTTGTTGATGTGTGCTCGCCTGCATCATACAATCAAACAAGAGAACCCGCTGAGTTCAAGCATGTACGTAGGCGGAGGAAAAGGAACAAAATAAGATTGCATTGGCGAGCGAACAAGGATAAATGCAGGTTGGACACTTGGCTGCCGTGCCTTTGGCGGGAGGCAAGGGGACAAACAAACACGAGCGGTGTCCTTGCCCCGGCCTTATCAAAAGCGAAACCTTCCCCGGTCAACGTGGTGAAGCCAATCGAGTTCCAAAACGTGCCGCGTGTTGCAGTTAAGACAGACAGACATGCGCACTTGGGTTTTTGATAAGGCTGCAGCGCGGGCAACAGCATTTCGACCGTTGGGATCGTTTATTCTTTAATGATATCCCTTTAAAATGGACCCAAAAAAACAAGTGCGGGGAATTTGGTCCAGGTTTAAGTTTGTTGGACAAAAGCGAGCGACAAATAGCCTTGTTGATGTCTTTTGGCCCGCAGGAAGCAGCTGTGTCCTTGGCTGTGGGCGTCAACTATCTGGCAAACGTCGGGGCCTTAAAACGTCCACAGAGACACGGATTCGTCCGGGCAGTGTGTTGGTGTCGTGTTGTGTCTCCTTTCTCCAAAAAAAGACATAAATGCACTACAAGCCGCAGCCCTGATGGCCTCCAATCTAATAGCAATGGCCTCCAACCTACTAGCGATGACCTCCAACCTACTAGCGACGTTGTGTCTCCTGAAGCAAAGAGAAACACTGGAAATGAGTATTGTCCAATTCTTCAGTGAGCTGATGAACATCTCAGAGGAGTTTCAAGGCATTTGCGAACTGTTGGTTGTCAGGCTACGGTTTTTTGTTTGTCCAGCACTGTCCAGCTTGGATTGTTGGCCAGTCATCGTTTCGGTTCGTCCCATTGGGTTTCGAGGCTGCGATCATTTACATCACGCCTTTGCTCATGTCTCTTGGGAGAACCGGAGACACGGACACACGAGACACGGAGCACAGGTTGATGGAACATGCCCCAACTAGACCATGGCTTGCACATGCTTAAATAAGAGATTTTGGCCAAGTGTTTTTTCTAACAACCACTAGTAGCAAAGGGCATCGCTACGAACGGAGATCGGACGCGGCTCCTGGCCTTGCTACTAGTAACAGGAAGCTACTAGTAACATTAGGCAGATGTCATGACCCCGATGCGGATTGGTCCGTGCACGGTTTCAGTGGGGAGAAGGGGAGAGATTCCATTTACATCCATTTACCCTTACTTGCCAAGATACAAGATGTAAAATAGAATGTTCCGATTCCGGAGGTTCCGTTCCTTTTCTTCACTAAAAGACACGCTGCAAGGTTCCGCGTCCGCTCATGATGAGGGTCTGTGTTTTGCATGCTTCAGCATGCAGAAGGTTCCCCGTCCGCTCTGAGGGAGTGGTCCAAATCTGGAACGTTACTGTTCTTTGGCATTCTCAACATGTTGCACCTTCGACCGCATCTAACTCTGGCAGTGGCATCGAAAGAACAGAGAAAACACCAGAAAGCTGCACAGCTATGGGGCTGCTGGATTGGGGCTTAAACTTTATGGAGACTAGGTCACGGAGGGTTCTTGCGGCTTGTGCCTTGCCTGGCCGTCGACGGTTCGATGCTGTGCCTCACTCAGATTTGTTAAGGAAACCAATGATAAGAGCATGCGAAATGAGAAAAGAATGAAGACTCTACTGTAAAATGATATGATATGTGATGTTTCATTCACATTCTGTCCAACCGTGCTTTATGTCCAAACCTGTCCGGATTGGACATGTTCACATCCTCACCGCGATTCCTGTACGGTGGGGCCACTTCTCAAGGACTCACATGGACGAAGGAACTGGGAAGGCAGGTTACATCCTCATCATCTAGCACTGCCAAAAACAAGATGGAACCCACGAACCCGAATGCAAACACGATCGAAAAACTAATCTGTCCAAAGGACACTCTTGTAGGACACTCTTGCGGGACACTCTGTAGGACACTCTTGTGGGCCACTCTTGTAGGAAACTCTTGTGGGACACTCTTGTAGGACACTCTTGTGGGACACTCTTATAGGACACTCTTGTGGGACACTCTTGTGGGACACTCTTGTGGGACAGTCTTGTGGGACACTCTTGTAGGACACTCCTGTACGACACTCTTGTAGAACACTTGTGTGGGTCACTTGCAGGACACTCTTGTGGGACACTCTTACACGACACTCTTGTAGGACACTCTTGTGGGACACTCTTGTAGGACACTCTAGCTGAGGAAACTCTTTGGGACACTCTTGTGGGACACTCTTATAGGACACTCTTGTGGGACACTCTTGTGGCACACTCTTGTAGGACACTCTTGTAGGACACTCTTGTTGTGGGACACTCTTGTAGGACACTCTTGTGGGACACTCTGTGGGACACTCTTGTGGGACACTCTTGTGGGACACTCTTGTAGGACACTCTTGTGGGACACTCTTGTAGGACACTCTTGTGGGATACTCGTGTAGAACACTCTTAAGGGACACTCTTGTGAGACGTTCTAGTGGGACACTGTTGTGGGACAGTCTTGTACGACACTCTTGTGGGACACTCTTGTAAGACACTCTTGTGGGATACTCTTCTGGGACACTCTTGTAGGACACTCTTGTAGGACACTCTTGCGGGTCACTCTTGTGGGACACTCTTCTGGGACACTCTTGTAGGACACTCTTGTAGGAAACTCTTGTGGGTCACTCTTGTAGGAAACTCCTGTGGGACACTCTTGTAGGACACTCTTGTGGGACACTCTTATAGGACACTCTTGTGGAACACTCTTGTGGGACACTCTTGTAGGACACTCTTGTGGGACACTCTTGTAGGACACTCTTGTGGGACAATCGCACTCTCGCCTGCATTTCGCGCACTCGACACGCACGATCTCCGCAGAGGGTTGCGCGCGCATGGGACAAATCGCACTCTCGCCTGCATTTGGTGCACTCGACACGCACGATCTCCGCAGAGGGTTGCGCGTCAAGTCTCCAAAACGAGCGTTTCGTACGAGACTTCCTCAAAAACTCACACGTCAAAGTCTGCAAAACGAGCGTTTCGTACGAGACTTCCTCCAAAAGTCAAGCGGAAACACCCATCGGAGCACACACATCACGCAGCCCTGCCAAGCAGTTTCGCGATTCCAGCCCCTCCAAACAACATCCGCTCACACGCCAATCCCAATGGGACAGCGACATTCACCTCTACCACAACTCACAACCTCACGATTCCCTGCGCCTGCCACGAATCTTTCCCCATCCACACGTCTAACGCGCACAAAGTACTGCGCCTGCCACGAAATGTCACCTCCCTCACACCTCGCAACCTCACGATTCCCTGCGCCTGCCACGAGAATTGCACTTCCACGCTTCAAATCCCGCACGAAGTCCTGCGCCTGCCACGAAAAGTGACAATATCATCGCATGTGAGCTTCAACAAAATTTGCACCACACCACACGTTTGGAATGATTTCGACCCGTTCAGAGCACACTCCCATCCATCAAAATCACCATTTCAGCTGAGACTTGTCACGAAAACAAAGCTTCGATGCCACACCCTGAAACGCAAATCCCAATGGCGCGGCCACATCCAACACCCCAAAAACACGACTCTCCAAACGCTAATCCCAATGGAACTGCGCCGTAATCTGCGGATCTCACAAAACGCTGCGCCTGTGCAGCGAAGTGCATCACGTTTCTTGCGCGACATGTCCGTGTCACGCAAATCACAATGGAATAGCGGCGCAAACTGACACGTGACACATCCATGCAAAGTCACTTGCAAAAGCTTCCCCCAATGGCAGCAAATTTGAGACGCGACGACGACGAGAGACGACGACAAACGACGACAGACGACGACAAACGACGAGACGACGCAAGCCACGCGAACACAGCTCCAACCCCCAGACCCCCAACTATAAACGGGAACCCTTCGCTACGCATTCGGGAAAAGGAGGGGCATCAGCGACGCGACCATATATTGTACAGACACTGGGCCCAACATCACCCGTTTGGCCGCCCACCCTTGCCGAAAACACCCACATAGAACAGTTGCGCAAAGTCAATATGTTCTCCAGCAAAACGAGCAAGATGGTATCCTGAAAGCAGTGGCTTCCATGGGGTCGTCAATACTGCCCCAAGCCAAAGCAACATGAAGGCATGAGGAGAAAGTGCATTGAGTTTGAGTTTGTTTTTCTCGTTTTGTTTAGGAATGCCTTCTTCGTTTTCACCTTCATCAAGGACCAAGAGAAGAGTGACATGAGCAACATGGTGTTATGCTTCCGTTGGTGAAGCGCCATGGGTTCCCGCAAGCAAAGACGCCTTTGACCCCATCCCCACAGCCTGCCAAACGAAAATTTGCTAGGATCTCTCAGGTTGGAGGATGCTGCTAGGTGGCTTGGACCTCAATGATGATACTCCTAATGGACCCGGTGAGGGGAAGCCCCGGTAATCCCTTGCGGTGTTCATTCCGTGACAAAGCCTGAGAGCCCGACGAAGTGTTCCATACCACTAGGAACAAGAAGCTACTAGTTTAGGCGAATGATGGCGAATGGACAAAAACATCTATTTTCCATTTTTGGGTGCATCGAAGTGTTAGTAGCCTTGGCGACTAATCCTTTAATCGGCATTCGTGGGGGAATGGACAAAACAGATCAAATCCTGGTAACTCAAACGACAGGAAGTCACTTGCAAGGTTTCTTTGTGACACTGAATGACCCAGGTCGTCTAGTTGTTGTGCATCTACTGTGAGTATGTGTGTCCGCAGGTCTCCACCCGATCCTTCATCCATTGACCATCTGAGCCAGTGGAACGCTCCAATTGCAGTTGCCGCAGCCATGAGCAGGGCTTGCCATTTGTTTGAAAACGTTCAGACATCAAAAAGCAGCTTCCGAGCTTTGACTGCACCTACTAGTAGATATGCCCCAAATTCCGAGCTTGAACACTTGAGTGACTTGGATGGAAAAGCTTGAGAAACCTCAATGACCTCTGGTAGGTTGGAGGCCATTGCTCCAGCGTCAGGAGACGAAGGGCGTTCACCTGGAGCACATTCCCGAGCTTTTCCGCTCCGAACGCCAGCGCCGAGCCCTGCTGCGCGCGGAGCAGCGTGCGGCGGAAAGCGCCGCGAGCTCTCCAGCGGCGCAGGCGTGAGGAGGCGCGTAGCGGCTTAGCGGCGCTCAACGCACGCCTGGGGCGTAGCAGGACGTGCGGTGGAGCCATTCAGGGAAGCAGGTTTGCTTGAAGTGGTACATCCTTTTGGTAGACGTAAAAATTCAATGCGTTGTTTGCGGATTGGGCGCAGGGCACTTCAGGCCAGTTGCGGCGATGGCCCAAATCCACACTCTCGACAGGGCTTATAAGGATTAAGCTCGGTTGCGACAGGGCTTGGTAGGGCCATCCAGTCCCAGCGCTTCACACTGACAGGTCAAAGCAACTCCTTTAGATGCAGACCTTGCCTCCTCATCCAGATGACTTAGAAGGCTGGGAGAGCTTGGACTCAGAATGGAGGCCATCACTAGTAGGTTGGAAGGTCATCGCTACGTTGTCGGAGGCCATCCCTAGTAGGTTGGAGGCCTTCGAGGCCATCCTTAGTAGGTTGGAGGCCATCGCTATTAGGTTGGAGGCCATTGCTAGTAGGTTGGAGGCCATCGCTAGTAGGTTGGAGGCCTTCCATTGTAGGTTCGAGGCCATCGCTCTTGGGTTGGAGGCCATCGCTATTAGGGGGAGGCCATCACTATTAGGGGGAGGCCATCGCTATTAGGTTGGAGGCCATTGCTAGTAGGTTGGAGGCCATCCTTAGTAGGTTGGCGGCCATCGCTAGTAGGTGGGAGGCCGTCGCTGCATTGTCAGAGGCCATCGCTAGTAGGTTGGAGGCCTTCGCTTGTAGGTTCGAGGCCATCCCTAGGCTGGACCCATAGGTTTGAACCCATACAGTGGTGGCAAATGTGAATGTCTCGCTTCCGACCCCAAAAGGACAACTTGATACCTGGTGCAGTTCGGTTCCACAATCCTGTTTCAGTATGACTATCTCTTTGAGCCTCAAACGGGCAGCACAATGGCAGTCTACTTGAGCTAGTTCAACAAATTCTGAGCATACGCATGATCCGATGAGTGATGAGTTTGTGTGGCGTAAAATCCATCATCATCCTAGTGGAAATACGGAAAGCGATTGGTTTGATTGCATCGTGGCATCGCCCCTAGTTGCCTCTGCCTGTGTTGGCCCGCGTTCCTAATAGCTTCTTGCTCCGAGTAGCGATGCCAGGAGCCCCGAGTAGCTTCTTGTTCCTAGTAGTAAGGCCAGGAGCCCCTGGCAGCGTGCTTGCTCCTAGTAGTGATGCCAGGAGCCCCTAGGCCCTAGTAGCGTCCTTGCTGCTAGTGGCGATGCCAGGAGCCCCTAGAAGTTTCTTGCTCCTAGTAGTAAGGCCAGGAGCCCCTAGTAGCGTCCTTGCTCCTAGTAGCGATGCCAGGAGCCCCTAGTAGCTTCTTGTTCCTAGTAGTAAGGCCAAGAGCCTTCTACTTCTAGTGAATAAGAAAGAATGAAGCTGCCTATGCTCCCCTTGGACCACCGGCACTTGCACAGTGCAGACACAACGCGATGCAGGCTGGTTTGCAATGATGACCTGCGTTTGCTTTGGAGATTTGGTATGAAAGTTTTATGCCGAGTAAGCGCGCCCAACGTATTGGATTTGCACATGGTTGTCGTGCAGCCTTGCACGAAAGCCAGCAGCAAAGTGTGTTCGATCCCATGTTGAAATGGATCTGAGGCTTGCAGGGATGACATTTAGCATGTCATTCTTAACAGACTTATGCTGCTGATGCACTAGACACCACTGCTGTTGCATGCTGCTGATGCCCAAGATGCGGAGAAACGCACTCCCATCATGCCACCTGCCAAAAGGCATGGTCAAAGTTCATTACTCGTATAGCTGTATTGTGAGAAGTTCTTATTGCGGAGCTTGAGGGAGCTCTTCTGGCGCAGCCTGCTTTTGAGCAGAAAAGAGCTTGCGAGATCCTGGTGAGAAGTGCCAAAGCAGTAGAGCAGGGGTCCAAATTAAAAGAGCTTTGGCAGATTGGACAAATCAGGTTGAATGATCAATCCTTTGATCTCACCGCCTTGCTTCGAGTTACCGTGTTTTGTTTAAAAACAATGCAAGGCTTTGAAGTTCTTTTGGATGGCGACACGTCGTTGCTTGTGCTTGGGACATTGAGGCATCCACCGAGGGGGAAAAGGCATCCAGAGTGGCATCCAGCAAGTATGTTGGGGATGCCACACTCTGACGTTTGCCATTTACGCAGCAAGTCATGAACAGAGGCCACAAATGATGAAAGTAGCCTGAAGTAGCTCCAGAGCAACCCGTTTGGATGTGTTAGCAAAGCATTCAACCCCTTTGGAACGAGGTCTTGCCCAGCCTGTTTCGTTCCAACATCTTCAAATTCACCCAGAATGCACGTGAAACACACCAACCGGCCTGACCAGCCCGGAGATTCGGACACCGTTTCTTCCTTAAACCTGCAACTGGGCTTGTTCGAGCCCAAAAAAGACCAAGAAAAAGCAGAACCAGGCTCAAAACCAGGCAGAACCGCACGGTTTTCTATGGCTGGTCAGGACTTGGCTACCCTGAGTTGGCTACCACAAAAAGGAGATATCTAAGGTCTGATCGATCGAATCCCGAGCAAAGTTCGTCCTCTTATCGGAGCGTCGTCCATGGAGTCCACCGAATGGCGGCCGGGATACCCGGCGCAGAGCGCGGCGCTTCATGAGTTTGTTTCATGTGATCAACAAGTATACTTTTGAAGGGAAAAGGGGGGAGGCCATCGCTAGTAGGTTGGAGGCCATGGCTCTTCGGTTGGAGGGCCAGCGCTAGTAGGTTGGAGGAGGCCATTGCTCTTCGGTTGGAGGCCATTGCTAGTAGGTTGAAGGCC